CACAATTCATTTAATTGAGACTATCATTTAATGTCACGTAATTGCCACATAGACCGTGACTCAACCACAGTGGAGATGAATAGCATTAATATATTTTTAATCTGTAGAATTCTAATGTTGTTTATGTAGTTGATAAGCTTTACAGATGAATTTATGTGATATATATGAACTTCAACTGGGCAATCTAGCTCATTTTCCTTTTAACTAAATTCGAATGTCCTGCTTTCTATCAATATTTCTCATGGTTTTTTTTTATTCCAGACATTTTTGTAGTATCTTCTGCTGCTTCTTAATGCTAATTTTCATGGTACCGTAAAGAGTTTTAGGAACATCTTTGTTAACTGCTAGCTTTATGTAGTATAATTTTTGAGAGTGCACTTGTGCATGTGGTGTCTGTCCATGCAATGGGGGATTCCTTTTCTTTTATAACAGTGACTTTGGGTTGAGATACATGCCTTCTCTATGTTGTCTTCAAAGTGAACTTCAGATATGAGAGAGGTTTGCTTTGCATTTAAGTTCGAAACAGTGTCAGTTCTACCACGTCTCAGTCAGTTTGCACACCTTACTAATTTTCTCAAAATCGTTCCGTGCAGTCTAGCAATGGATAGTGGGGCAGCATTGCCCAGGAGTGGCTGTGACTCTGGTGTCTTCAATGGGAGCTAAAACGATGGGTAGACCAAGAAAGAATGTGTAGCAGTAGGTAAAAAAACTTTAAAATGCATGAAAGATCAGCTTGTTGAGTTTATGTTAACTTGAAAGTCTTTTGAAGGAGGTGAAGACAAAGTTATGCCTTGTACTGTCCTCAAAAACTCCGATCAATGAGCAGATGGCTTGTGCTCAAGGAGGTTTAAATTTTTTTTAAGGATATAGGAAGCTTGTAGTTTATTTTGTAGAATTTTTTTTTTTTTTTGATGAGCTTAGTAGATGAATTTCTATAATATATATGCGTGAACTTGGTTCACATGAAACTAAATTCAAACGGTTCAGATATGTTTCATTTGATCTTGCAATATTTTTCTTAGTCCCTGTTTGCAGAATATTTTATTATGTGAATGTATAGTTAAAAATAAGTACATAGAAAAAATAGTTTGAAAAATATAGTTGTCAAACAATGGCTTAGTTTGCTATTTATGTTTCATGATTTGCATATGTTTATTGACATGTCAGTCCAGACCTGTAATGTGATGTACGTCAATGATAGATGCTAGCTAGGCATTGGATTTACTGTCAAGCTTAACTTTGATATGTTATGACTATAATGATTTTTTATTTGAAAAAAAAAAAAAGACAGTTTTCTAATGATATTAGGGATGGCAAAAAAACTCGACAAACTCGATACCCGCGCCCCGCCCCGCCTTAAACGGGGAACGGGACGGGGAATGAATTTCTTAACGGGACGGGGGGGCATCCCTGCCCCGCCCCGTTGCCATCCCTAGCCAAGCCGAGTTGACGAGCTACGTGTCATTTTTGCCACCTCTAGTTTGAAACCTTTGTTCTCTACATCTTAAACAAGTTTGTTGAGAGAATCACATTCCTTTTATGAAAGTGAGTATTTGTTCAAACTCGTTTAGTGCATACATTTTTAATCTATTATCTTATCCATTTTTAGCTTGACTAAACATATATTTTAGGTCCATTTGAAATCTTGTCCTCAAACATTGCTAAATGACATGTTAACCTTATACAAATTTCATTATCCAGAATTCTTGTAGCACTTTCACTTTTTTTCCAGTCCTCTCAAATTCTATTTATTACATCGTCATTAATTCCTCTTTGTTAACAATTGTTTATGATCATTTTTATTATAATCATTGCTTATAATTCTACTATTCATTTTTCAATCTACTATTCATTGGTCATTCCCGTCCCTTGCTTTGTCGGGGATTTTAGGTAGACGGGTGAAAATTAAAATATTCCAATTTCTTGTGCCATTTTCTAATTTATTTATTTTCAAATACATTTTTTATTTAAAATATAAATAAATAATAAAAGTTGGGGAAGGGACCATGTTCTCGTTCCTTGATGAAATTTCTCGACTAAAGGAGGAATCCTATCTCCTCCCGTTTTGCCACACCCTGCTATGTAGCCGGGGGATGGGTAACATGGTTCGGTCCTGAATTCTTCAAATATCACTTCAAATTTTATTATTTTATTTTCATGTTTTTATATTTAAATTGTACCCAATAATAAATGGGGTATAATTCAATCTCCGTCCCATCTCTCGAAAATCATAGACGGGAAGAGGATGAGAATGGAGATAGTTCACTCGATTACACCTCGTCCCATCTAAACTAAACTGTCATTTTCTCCCAACTTTAGGATTAATTTTCTTAAAATCATAAAAAAAAAATATCAAAGAAAGCATCTCCAAGTGCAAAAAAAGTCCACCCCACCCCAATCATATCGATTCCCCCATTTTCTTTCTTCTAAAAGTTGTTTACCTAATCAATTAATTAACATGTATGATTGCCCCTAACTTGTTTTCTATCATGCTAAATTTGGTTTAAAGAAAGCACTATCATCCCTATCTTATATTGCTCTTTTGTTTGTTTCTGTACGTCACCTTGTTGAAACCCTAGATTATTTACTATACTTCTAGCAATAACTAGTACCGATTCAACCCGAGCTCTCGTTGAATTGCATGCTATCGATCTATGATAGAACTTTCATTTTTACCGTGCCAAATTCTAGTCTATATCAACTCCGGTGACTAGAAATTCAATCTCTTCCGTGTAAGCACAAAACTTTAGCATTCCTCCGGAGCTCTTATTGAATTGCACGCTATCTATGATTACAACTTTCATTTTTATCGTGTCAAATTCTAGTGTATATGAACTTCCATAACTAGAAAGTCAATCTCTTTCCGTGTAAGCACGGAACTTCAGCAGTCCTCGTGCCTATGTGCCTTAATTGACCAACTACCAATGTTACTTGTATCCACAATTATTTGGTTTTGGAATATAAATAGAGAAACAGTTGTAGTCAATTGTATAGGGCGTAGGGGAGATAGGGATAGAAAGGACCATAATCAATTCTTTACCAGAAGATCAAATACAGACGAGAGCATTATTGAGTTGGTTGTCCACCAATACAATTATACAAATGATTGAAATTAGGTGCAAGAAGGAAGAAGTGTGTGGGACCAGCACGTGGTTCACATGACGATTCCATTTTCGTGGGTCCTTCATGTCATGGGCATCTGACCATCCACACCCTCTCCATCCCGGATTCTGTCTAAGAGGCGTGAAGCATGCAAGACGACCCTTTGGAGAGGCTGTGATGTGCTGCAGCTTGGTCTCGGGGCCGTTAGGGGGGACGGACTCGAGTGTGAGGGGGACATGTTGAGGGCAGGCATGATGAACAGTCATGTATGGACTCTTAGTTGTACTGTCCCACCTGTCCGTTGAGTTAATGAGAAGCTAAAAGTAAAACCTGACACAAAAATGCTTGGATCTCCTCAATCATTGCTTATTGTCCTTGGGATTCTTTTCATGTGAGTATGGCCTTGGCTGAGTTTTCAATTTCAAGAAGCAAATATCAGCCCAAAAGGTGAGGATTGAGGAGCAAAAGGAGATCAAAAATTAGAGTAGACGAGTACCCCAAAATACCTAATTGCCTGTCAGACAATATTCTCGATCGATCTAAGGTCTTCCGTGCATCGTCAAATGGACTTTGAACCTAATGTGCGTCTCAACTTCTAATTGATTTTTTGTGAAAACGGGAAATGAAGAAATTCAAAGGAATCGTATTAGATTAGATATGTACTGGATTTGAAACGAGCATTTTAGAGCGAGAACAAAAGATTAAGCCAAAATAAGATTTGTATATGATTGTCAAGTCGAGTCGAGCCGAGTCGAATCGGTTGTATAAATCATTCCGTGCTTTACAAGATAAGCAAATATGAAACCAAACCAGTTATAAGTAGAAGAAATACTAAAGTTCTATTGCATTTCATTACATGATTCTTCTGTTTACACTTGTTGAAAATCAAAGTTAAGCGCAAGATTATGTGTTTTTTCCTCATCTTCTTCTTTAATATTTTTCTTTCTTTTCATTTTTCAAATGTCCCTATCAAATTTACCATACTAGCCTGCCTTGTCATCGTTCACAACTCACAACCTTCTCCCATACCGCACAACGCCGGCGAGTCAACCAGGGACAAACTCGGAATACAACTCTCCGACCGAGTCAACCCGATGCCCTTCGTGTTACCATCCCCTCTGTTCTTCGTCGGACTACTCGGCATAGACCTTAAAGACTTGGGACTCTCCAAACTCTTCCTCAAAATCTGTCTCATGGCTGAAATCAAATGGGCCGTCGGGTCCTCCGGCGGGCATGACGACCTGAATTTGTTGCAGAAGTTGAAATGTCGGGCCATGGCCTCATCTGGGCTTATCAATTTTCGACATCGGAAAATCTCATCCTTCACAGCTTCAGCACAAAGCCCGCAAATCCATTTTCCCTGATAGCGAGCCCGAATTGTTTCTATGTAAGATAAAGTGCATTCCTCTGTCAGACCGCAGCAATCGCATTTAGCAAAATCAACCTCAATTTGGCCCGGGCCCGACATTTTTGTATTCAAAGGTCCGTCCGGAGTGTTCATCACCATTGAATCACTCATAATACTAGTCGACGACCCTGAAACAAGAATAAATCAAATTAAACACAAAATTCTACACAGAAGAACAATTAACTAAAAATATTATGAAAAATAAAAAGTGAATTACCAGCTGAAAAAGCAGATCAAAAACAGATGTTTGTCAACAAGATTTCGAATAAAGAGAACGTCGAAAAATACTAGTAATTTATATTTTTTTATCTTTCTTTTTCCCACTCGCCTTCTTCTTCAACCTTGGCTTCAGGGATGAAGTATATATCCATGGAAGACATTTCAGAAAAACCCAACTAAAAAAAAGCTTCAATAATTCACTATAAATAGAGAGAGAGTATTCAATCAAATATATGCAATAGAAAAACGATTTATTTATTTATTTATTTTTGTTGCTTCCCCCACATAAATTCTTGTTTAGCCTTTCTAGAGAGAGAGGGCGGGACTTTATATAGAGGGGAGAAGTTTCTTGGGCTTTTATCGTGTAAATTCCCACATACAATCCCCAAACTATTCTACTTCTCGCTTGGGTCCCCATTTATTTTCCTGTCACAATTAGGACTCCATGCTATTGCTATCTTCTTCTGGATTGAAGAAAATTATAAACGCCTGCATTATCTTTTGGGAGGCATTCGCCTATTGAAATTGTCTACATAAGATTATCTTTTAGTCAATACATGATGACACAATATTAGAATTTGAGCTTTCTAGAGTAGTATTTTAGTGATGGCTCGAGCATCTCTAGTTCACTTAAATATCCTACCAAAACAAACTATATATATGAACTATAAATCTCAATAACTTGAAGAGCTTACGGAGCTTTTTCTTTTTCACTTGGGGGCGTGAAGAAGATTTTGTGTTTGAAGTATGAAGTACAAACTATAAATAGTTGTGTGTCGTGTGGTTTATAATGTTAGGGTAGTTAGTAAGTGACAATTCATCAAACTGCTTAATTTAAATTAAAATGGTTATATTATGTTTTACAGGTAAATAAGATATCTGACCTATGTTCAATTTGGATCAATTTTAGAATTTTTTACTTTGTACTTCTATTTATTTTTTCAAATATTTTAAGCGATCTCATTCGGTTTCAAATTGCAGTTAAAATACCGAAACCTAAATCAAACAATTTTACAACCGTTTCGTTTGGTTTGAGACATTTTCCTGACATGTTCATGTGGCATCAAGTTGACAATTTCAAAAAGGTAGTTTAATTCGATTTTTTGATTTGACATTTATTACTTACAGCGTTGTCGTGACTCATTTCGTTATGAGATTAATCTACTTGGAGACCCCTAAAATTCCTCTAAAAGAATGGATCATGTGTCTTTCAAGTGACTATTTAATGAAAATTTGAACGATTTCCATCTATTTGTCCGTACATGTACTAAAAAATGATAATTTCTGGATATAAATGCGACAAAAGGGACCCAAGTGAAACAAGTGGTAATATTTGGGGAGTTGGGTCATAATATTGTTTTGGGGGATCTGGGGACACGTCATCAACTATGCTGTGCGGCCGTATATGGTGTCCATATTTTCTTTGCGAATATTTTTTTAAAAGATTTTTATGCTTTTTTATTAATACCATGTCATCCAATGATTGGTCACCACGTGGTGAACAACTATTCGTATTAAATTATTAATTTAGAAAATAAGTGGTTCATTAAAATTGAGGAGATTAGATTAGATTAGATTAATTGGGTTCACACATCATTAACCAACCATCTAGAATTTCTTATGTCTACGTATTTGTTTGTTTAATGTCAATTTGATTTAAATGCAAGAATAAATGAGGAATATCTTAATCATATAATTAATTGATTATTCTTTTATTATCATCAACAATTGAAATTTTGTCATTTTGTAAACACGCTTTTAGGTGTCACAATTGTTGAGTAATTGTAAGTATATAGCTTGGATTGTATGTGTGACTTTTTCTTTAAAGTCATTAACAACTTTACCTTAATAGTCTTCTTTAAATTTTTCATATGCAATGGACAATTTAGAAGTACATTGTAATGAAGTCAAAATCAATGGTGTCTTATCCAAATTTGTCATCGACATAGTTCACATGCTTGTTTTGACCGAAAAACTTGTTAAAACATGTAAATACGGTGCAATGACTTGTGAAATTTTATTGCATGTTCATATGGTCATCACAATTTTTTTTATTTTAAATAATTCGTAATTGATAGATAAATTGCGAGCACCTTCGACACGACACCTTCACAGTGTCAACAATTTTTTAAGATTCGAAGTGGTCACAAAGGTCAATTTGGCCACTTCAATTATTCGTTTGAGACGACCAATGAATAATATGATGAGTACGTGGCACTAAGGAAGTGATTGGTTTTGTTAATAAATGGCCAATGGACCTACTCCTAATAATGTGTGTGATATATATCTACTATATAATGTATGATTGTGAAAGAGACACCCAATAGAATTGTGAAATAAAAAATAAAGGGGACCCTTTTGCAAAATTAGTGTGTGTGTGTGTTTTGTCATGCCCACGTGTCATTATAAATTTAGGGATTTATAATTTACTTCCCCATTCATACAATGCTTGCTTTATATTTCCACGCAACGTTCAAAAAGTGCGTAAAAGAGTAAAGTGACACCTCGTATTATCAATAGTTTATATAGTAAATTCGGTAGTACGATGTTGTTAAAGAGGAATTTTTTTTTTACAGATTTCTCTATTTCATGATTCTGTTTTGATTATTCTTACGTGTCAAATGTTCACACGGATTGTTGACCTAAAGAAGAAAAGATAATAATTCGACTCCCACGCCAAATAAAAAGCTTCACTTGATTTAGACAATACTTGCAACTCATCACATGTTACATGTGAATATGTTCATAAAAAATATTTGGGGGAACAAGAATGAATCCTGGAATTGAAATGGACCATAATTTTGGGTTAGTTGTCACCAATTGATGATATAGTATATACTCTTAAAATCAAGCCAAAGTAAAATGCTTTTTCTTTTCTTATGTCAATTTTATTATTCTATGTAAAACCGTTATGGAAAGCTTTTTGTTCTTATTAATATTCTCTTCACTTCATCAGCATTCCAGCTTTCTTTTACAAAATAGTGAATTCTTTTGGAAGAAAAAAAAAATAAAAAAAAAATAATAATTTTTATATAGTTTATTATTGTTCAACTTAAAATTAATATAAGGGCCTGTTTGATTATCATTATTGTAGAATGAGAATGAAAAATATAGTCGTTATTGGACCCCACAAAAGATATAGAAATTCAAAATTGATGGCTTAATGTGATAGATAACGGTCATATTTTTCATTTTTATGGATGAAAAATGAGAAACAAACATGGGCTAAGTTTTGAATAACGCATACCTCCCCTAATCACTTTTCTTTCACGTCTTAGTATATATAATAGCTGTAATGCTTAAAATATCACAATGAAATTTCTTCCATCCCGTGGCCCATTTAATAATAATATAATATTTAAAATATAATTTTAACTCTTCTAATTAAATCAACATCGAAGTATTATCTAGACTTAAAAAAATATATCAAGAGATAATTTGATTTAAAATACTCAAATATATTTGCATATGACAAAGTAATGAGCACAAGCAAAATAGTATTGTTGAATATGTTTGACATTTTTACTTTCAGTTTTTGTTTTAGTAGGCTAGATATTTTGTATCTTAAGTCTTAAGTTTAAGTGTTCAAATTGATAACTTAAACCTTTGTAAAAGTTATCATAGTTAAATCTTTTTCAATGACGGTTTGTTAGTTTAATGAGGTGGAAAATATGTCTATGTAATCCTATAAATACCTCAAGTATTGTATGAAAAATAAGCTTCAATCTTCTTTCTCAATCTTCCAGAAAATCAGAGTAAAACAGGTTATTTTCCTTAGGCGAGAAAATAGGGGAAAAACAGAACAAGACAGTAGCAATCACGGTAGGCGTTTAGGCATATACGGTGAGTTGAGTGAAAATACGATAACTTGAGTGCATATACGGTAAGCACCCTGTTTCACCATAAAATAGAATTTCCTTTGATAAAACTGGTATGTTCCTTGCATATACGGTAAGTCAAGTGTATATCGAGTAGTTTGAGTGTAAATCCGATGAGTTGAACTAAACGGTTAGGAGTATTAAAACCAGTTAGATTATCTTAAATCTGGTGAGTTTCACTCTTTGATTCATAAACTCCAACATGGTATCAGAGCTTAATTGATCTTAGAAAGGGACTCTGAAGAAGGAAAGAAGAAGAAGAGAAGAAGAAGCTCATAAAGAAACCTTCAGCAAAGTTTGACATAAAAGAAATGGCTTCAATAGGATTTTCAGCACCATTACCATCTACCTTCAATGGAGAAAACTACAACTTCTGGGCTGCAAAAATGAAAGCTTATCTTAAAGCTTATGATCTATGGGAGATCACTGATACTGGAGTTGAACCAGCTCCTTTGAGGGCTAATCCAACAGTGGCTCAAATAAAGCAGCACAGTGAAGATGTAGTAAAGAAGTTCAAAGCTCTATCTTGCATTCAGTCGGCCATTTTAGATGTAATATTCACAAGAATCATGACTCGTGAAAATGCAAACGAAGCTTGGGTTGTTCTAAAAGAAGAATATCAAGGTAATGAAAAAACGAGACAAATGCAAGTCCTTAATCTGAGAAGAGAGTTTGAAAATTTAAAAATGAAGGAGACATAAGTTGTCAAAGATTTTTCAGATAGGATGATGAAGATTGTAAATCAAATCAGACTTCTGGGAGATGATTTGCCAAATAAAATAGTGGTGGAAAAGGTTTTGATTAGCCTACCTGAAAAGTTTGAATCCAAGATATCTTCATTAGAGGATTCTAGAGATCTGTCAACAATGACCTTGGCTGAATTGGTGAATGCTTTACAGGCAA